ATATGATCCAGCAATCTCATTTCTGGGTATGTATCCAAAGGAAATGAAATCAGTATGTGAGAGAGATACCTGCACTCCTATTTTCATTGCAGCATTATTCATTCACAGTAGCCAAAGTATAGAATCATCCTAAGTGTCCATTAACAGATGAATGTATAAAGATTGTGGTATAAATACACAATGGAATACTGTTCAGCTTTAAAAAAGGAAATCCTGTCATTTGCAACAGTGTGAATGAACCTGGAGAACATTATGTTAAATGGAATAAGCCAGCCACAGAAAGACAAATACCTACCATATGATCTCACTGAATATGTGAAATCTGAAAAAGTTGAACTCATAGAAATAGAGAGTAGAATGGTGGTTACCAGGGGTTGGTGGGTATACACAACAATGGGGGAGATACTGGTCAAAGGATACAAAATTTCAATTAAATAGGAGAAATAAGTTCATGAGATCTGTTGTACAACATGGTTACTATAGGTAATAACAATTATATTCTTGAAAATTACTGAGAGTAGATTGTAAGTGTCCTCACCACAAAAAATGGTAAGTATATGAAATAATACATATGTAAATTAGTTCAATCTAGCCATTCTACAATGTATACATATTTTAAAACATGTTGTACATGATATATATAATTTTTTTGTCAATTAAAACATTTTGAAAAATAGCCTCAGATGTGTGTTGTGAAAATGAAATGAGTTAATAATATACATAAAGCTCTTAGAATAATGCCTGGCACATAAATGTTAGGTAAATGTCAGTTCGTATAGGTATGCAAAGAAGTAGGGGTCAGGCTTAGTTGCAAGGATAGGTCTGCTAATAACTGGTTGTGCAGGCAAGTCACTTCACTTTTCAGGGCCTTCGTTTCCTTGTAGAAAATGAAGAGGTTGGCCTAGATAGTATCTTAAGATTCCATTTTCATCTCTTCTATTCATTGATTAATTGATAAAATTCATATTATTATTGAAGCATCGTGTAGAAAAAAGCTGCTTTAAAAAAGAGAGAATTTTTTTTTTTTTTAGGGTATTTTATTCATGCCATAATTGAGGTCTCAATATATGGGTGTGGAAGAAAGAACATGTGGTCCTAAATATGGGGCAAAATCTTAGACTGAGTTGGAAGGTACCTCAAAGGTAATCTAGTTATATCTTCCTTAAACTTTTAAGAATTCTTTTTATGATGAGCATATAACATTTATATAGTGCCCTATAGTTTAAAAGGTGGTGCTATATGAATTAATCGCACTTCATCCTCTCATAAGAAACAAAAGCATATATTATTCCCCTCTCCCTTTTTTGAACAAGAATTTGAAATTCAAGGAGATGAAAAGCCCTACCAAAGTCAACTGCTTTGTAAGCGATTAAGTTGGGACTACAATCTGTATTTATATGATTCTGAATTTTGTGTTTTCATAACACCATCCCTCCCTGACAAATCCTCATCTAACCTTTGCCTAAATATTTCTAGAGTTAGAAGACTTGCTATGCATTTAGACAATATGTCCTTTTTTCACTAACACCAATTGTTACACAGTTTTCCCTTTTATTGATCTGAAAACTATAGCAGAATTATCCCTTGGGCAAGGACACACAAGCTCAACTGAAGCTAAGAGTAGATCTAGACCTCAGCATATTTTATACTGTGTTTGTAGTAAACCCTTTCTCTCTAAAGATCACAGTGTTTGCAAACAGTTTTACTGCTGCCATGTGATAGAGATGTAACCAGCTGGCATTCAGGGTGCTTATAGAGCAAACTTGAAGAGACATCCTTAAATAAAAAACATATTTTAGATGTTACAAAAATTTTTCTCCAATATTAGAAGGAGGCTTGGCTTCCCTTGTAGGTATAAAATTTAAATATTTTAAAATTTTGCTAAAGTAATGCAATCAAATATATTTTTTCTTTACACTTTTATTAAATGATAATTCATGAAGAATGTACTAATCATAAAAATTTAGCTCAGTGAATTTTTATAAAGTGAACAGACCCATGAAATCAGCATTCAAAACAAGCAGAAGAAAAAAAAAAATCAAAACAAGCAAAAGAGTATTACCAGCAATCAAGAAGCTCCCATGTGTCACCTAGTCACTACTCTCTCCTCCTCTGCCTAAAAAAGTAACTACTATTCTGACTTCTAACACCATTGCTTTTTTTTGTTTTGGCCTATTTTTCAGTTTTATATAAATTGAATCATACAGTATGCACACATTTTTTTTGCTCTAACTTCTTTGGCTCAGCAATGTGTTTGTGAGACAAAAGACTAATCTGTGTTGTGTAGAGATATAATTCTTTACATTTGCTGTGGAGTGTTCCACTGTGTATGTGTATAATACCTCGGTCTGTCCATTCTACTGTTGATGGACAATTGGATAATCTTGTTATGAATATTCTTACATGTGTCTTTGAACATTTGTGCACACTTCTATTGGATATATCTACGTCTAGGAGTAGGATTGCTGGGTTTTAGGGTATATGTCTCTTCAGGTTTAGCAGATATTGCTATATGGTTTTCAGAATAGTTATAATAATCTATACTCGCGGTTTTACATTCTTTCCAACATTTAGTATTGTCTGTCTTTTCATTTTAGCTAATGCATATAATTTAAAAATCAAATAGAACATAAGGACTTATAATGAAAATAAGTAATTGTTTTCCTAAACCCTTTGCTTTCCTGCTCTAAGTCCCACTCTTTGGAAGCAACCATTTATAACTGTGTATTTCTGTTTTTAACATCTTTTAAGAAGCATTGATTAAGAGCATAGATTCTGGAGCTAGACTACCTAGATTCTTACCTCAGTTCTACCACTTACTAGCTTGGGCAAGTTCTTTAACCTCTCTGTGTCTCAGTTCCCTCATCTGCAATATGTGGGCTAATTACAGTACATATCTCATAGAAATGTTATGGGAATTAAGTTAATATACTTACATGCTAAGTATTCAATAAGTGAACTATACTAATAATTATAGTATTACCTCTGTATTACTTAACAGTATCACACGGCTGTTCTTGAGTCTGCAACTTTAGACGTTGTTTATTGACTTCCTAAAATAGATGGGTATTTAGCTAAGTAATACCCTCTCTCCCACCTTCCCTTTTGTCTTTTCCCGATATAATTATATCGGTTTTTCAATTCATTCATTAAAATGCATTCTCATTTTTATATAACTGGTAACATTTATGTTCTGTTCATAATTAAGTCTTGGTCTGTGTTTTTGCATTATTTATATAAATATTATTTAATACAGATCTGCCTAATATGCAGATTTACATTTCCTTCTCCATATTCCAGTTTCTCAACCTTGATGCTATTTGAAGCAATGTGTTCCTTAAGTTTGAATTCTTTTTTATTCTCATACCAAATTTTCAAGATACTCCTCTCCCTTCTAATTCTTTCTGCCTATCCTGACTTTTGACTGATTTTTTTTTGATGGTCAGTGGGAAACCATTAAAACTTTTTGAACAAGCAAATATCATAGCTAGTGACGAGTGTGTAGGTTGAATTGAAAACTATAGGGCCTTAAGTCCAATTTTCTTTGTCCTTTAATGGAGGAGTATGAGTTGTGTTTTAAAAGTTTTTTAAAGGCTACAATTTATAACTCAAGTTTCTCCATAAAAACAAGGGTATTAATGATGAGCACATAAATGCCTAAATAATTCTTAAGTAACTGAGGTGTTATGCAGTTGGGCTTTGATGGAGTCAGACTACCTCCAATTCTGGTTTAGCCACTCACTGTGTAAAGTTAACTTTTCTTTAACCTTTCTAAGCATCACTCTTTTCATATGGAAAAAGGAGCTGGTAGTACTGCCTCAGGGTTGTGAGCATAAAATAATACATGTAAAGCACTTAACATACTGCCTGGCAATAGCAAACATCTCTGATGAATACCTTTGCTGCTGCTATTCGTTGTCGATACTGTCATTATCATGTACTAATTACTGTCTATTATAGTTGTTGTGCCCCTCTGTATCTGTGGGTTCTGCATCCATGGATTCAACCAACTATGGATTGAAAATATTCAGGAAAAATTACACCTGTACTGAACATGTACAGACTTTTTTTTTCTTGTCATTATTCGCTAAACCCGCAGTCCTCAACCCCTGGGCCATGGACTAGTACCCGTCCATGGCCTGTTAGGGACTGCGCCTCAGAGCTCCACTGTACCCTACCCCATCACCCACCCCCCGAATCCATGGCAAAATTGTCTTCCATGAAACTTAGGAACTGGGTGGGGGGGATGCACAGCAGGAGGTGAGTGGCTTCATCTGCATTTACCCCCACTCCCCATCACTCGCATCACCACCTGAGCTCTGCCCACTCCTCCACCCCCATCCATGGAAAAATTGTCTTCCATGAAACTGGTCCCTGATGCCAAAAAGATTGGGGACTGCTGCCCTAAACAATACAGTATGACACCTATTTACATAGTATTCATGATGATTAGGTATTATAAACAATCTAGAGATGATTCAAAGTATATGGGAAAGTGTCCATAGGTTATATGGAAATATTATGCCATTTTATATCAGGGACTTGAGCATCTGCAGATTTTGATATCCTCGGGAGGTCCTGGAACCAATCCCCCACGGATACAAAAGGGGACTGTATACTGTTTCCATGGTGCATGCATTTTGAATTTCGATCTTGTACTGTGGGAACACTCATCCTATCTGTTTCACAAAGGATCTCTCTCCTGCTCCACCTAAGCTTCAAGGCCTACTGGCTGCCTTTAGATTTTTCTTTTCTTTGTTCTAAATGTCCTTGTCAATGAGGACATGCCAAAGAACTAGGACTTCTGGTTGCCACAGAGAAGGGGTCATTTGCTGCCAGTTATGGGGGAGGTGTGTGGCAAACTTTGGTTTTGTAGAGCACGTGTGGTGTTAGGTGTTTGTTTTTTATGTATGTTGTTTTCATACATGGTGGGTTTTGTTATTTATGCTTTAAACTCTGGTGTTTATTCAGAAATTTAGACTTATCTTTACTTTTGTCAGGTTTAAGCCGTTTTTTCCATACCAAACCTTGCAAGGATTTGAAGAAGATGAAGAGCATATCCATATACAACAGTGGGCACTTGCTGAAGGCCGTCTTAAAGTTACATTGTTAGAATGTAGCAGGTATGTTCTTTGTTTTGTTATTACTACCTTATGGGAAAGAAAGTGCTATGAAAATGTACTTAAGCAGTATTTGTTTTTATTCCCCTTCTGTGTTAATTTAAATTGTATTATTTACCTGTAAATTCTTTATTCATAAATTTAATTTCATGAAAGTAGTCTTTTCAAACTTACAAAAAACATAAACCATGTTTTAGAAAGTACTCTAATGGGGGTGAGGGGGTGGGGCATTTATTCTGCAATCATTCCCTAACTTTTTAGATGCATAATACACTATTGGCTTATTTTTAATTTATCTATTGGAGAGCTGTTCCTATGTTAAAGAGAAGATTATTTAATGATACTTGTTAAAGCACAGTATCAGGACCATTGTGATAGGTATAGGGACTGCTGCAATGGAGTTTTGCAATGGGAAACAGAGATTGGGCTCAGCTCCATATACAGCATGGACAAGGAGGAATTTATAGCCAAGGAGCAGTGTAGGGGTCAGTGGACAGAAAACTACTAAGAGGAAACATCAGGAGTGAGGGGTATTCTGGCTAAACCCGCCTAACAGAATTGTTGCTGAAAACAGTCCAGGTTGATCACATGTTACCAGGGGAACAGTGAAAGATGATGAGATATCAAGGATGGGAATTCTTTACTAAAACTGGACTTTGTTAGAAAGTGCACAGATGGGCCTGGCAGAAGATTCGGAAGCCTGACTAAAGTTTGGCTAAGCAAAGAGTCTTTGCCACCTAACAGCTCAAAAGCTAACTGTCTTAATGTCTCTCCTGATCATTCTTAAGTACAAGTATACTATCCTTAGACTAGATGTCTATGACACTTGTTTGTACCACTTACTTGGTACTTATCACTTTTATTTCTGACGTATAATAAAAATAAATCCTTGAATACAGAGGTTATATTTTGTACCTAATACATTTGTGTCCTTGCAAATAGGTTAATTTGAGTATATTGATAACATACTTAATCTTTTTTTAAGTCCTGGGGTGACTCAGGATTGTGCATCATTATAACAGGAAGTCTGGTTGACAAGAAATTTTCTTTTATTAAAAAAAAAAAGGGACTAAATATACTGTGTATTTTGTAAAAGGCACTGCAGTGTACAATAAATGTATTAGGTACTATGCTAGGTATTTAGAAAAAAACTAGTACATTTGCCTTAGTGTTGCCAATGGTGTTATGGATTGATTAGATGTCTGTTAGCTTGTGGCTGTTTAACAACTAGCTTTGTTATCACCTTTGCTCACTATTCTTTTGCTTTATCTGAAATACTGTTCACTTACACTTTGCTATAGGAATCAAAGACTGCATAAGGCATTGAGAAAATGTAGCCAGACATTATTTAGGTCATGTTAAATTGAGATAAATGATAAAGAAAAGCATTAGAATTTGTGGAGTACCCATAATGTACTTTGTTTTAATAAGGAACTGTATAATAAATCTCAGAATGGATACATGAGAAACCAATAAACATTCTTACAGGGTAAAGAGGGAGGAAAGTGATTTGATAATGATGGACAGGGGTCAAGGTGACAGCTGAGCTATTCACTATAAACTTTTTTATAATGTTTGATTTTTGTGACTGTATCACCTGGTTAAAAATTAAAAACCAGTATTTTAGAGAGTGTATAATTGAGTTGAAGGGGAAAGCCTGAAAAATAGTCCCTTTTATCGCTTTGTTCTTACGTTAGTCCTGTATGCTTGGGTTATATAGCCAGCACCTTTTCCCCAGGTGATAAATTACTCTTTGGAACAGGTACACTACCAAAAGAGATTTCCAGGCACTATCTTTATAAACCTGAACACGTAAAAGTTACTTAGTGTTGTGGTACTGTGTTATTGTTCATGTAGTTTAAGGATTATTTAAAAGTGTTTATGAAGGAGAAAATAAGGTGTTGTTCTCACTTCATTCTGCTTTTTTATCTTCATATTGAAGTCTGAACATTCTTGCCATATTCTTTCCATTAGAATCTTACATTTTTGTTTTTCTTGTAAACTTTTTCTTAGTATAAAAATAGAACTCTCAGTTCAGGTAGATTCCAAGTTTATAGGATTCAAACTAAAGAGGAGATATTACTGTAACCTAAGCATTTTTATTTCAATTTTTATTGTTTTGAATATAAATTCAATTTTGTGGTTTATTGTAATCTCTGAAGCAGAAAGAAACACTAGAGAAAATGGAAGCACAAATGACAGTGCCCTTTTTTGGAGGAAGGACCAAATAATATCTATCATTTTATATGAAGTGGAAATAACACAGACTTTTGAGTTATAGCACTGAATTCACATTCTAGCCATGTGCCCTTATATTGTGTCATCAGGCAAGTTTCACATCTGTAAGATGGGTAAGGGTGCTCCCTTGCTGGTAATTGTGATCAGAGATAGGCAACTAACCCACAGTGCCCACCACATAATAAGCCTGTACTTGTAGCTTCTGTTATTATGTCTTAATATAATCATTACAGTATTTATCAAGGAAAAAAATCTTTAAACAAAGCTATGTTCTTTTTTGCATATTTGATTGTGAGAATTGGAATTTGAATTTCATTAATTTAAAAGAGTCTCACACTATAGAGGAAGGTTCTTTTCTGATTATCTGAAATATAGTTTTGAATTTCCTCAGCAGTAGCTTGGGGGTAGAAAGGCAATTTTACTTGTAACAATTGATTCTAACACTTTGCTTTTATCACGTATTTTTTTAAAAAGCAGTCATTCTGAACAGTTGCATGTTTTTTTGAGTTGGCAAAAGCTAATTATTTTTAACCGCAGATGAATTCGATTGCCATAGTTATAGTACTGCTTGCTATTAAGAGATTAAATTGTTTCACATTAGTGTTGCAATCATATTGTTAAGATTATTATTTTTTAATTTATAACTTATAGTCCATCTTCTATCTTAAAGGATTAGAGGTATTGTGCAAAGAAAGCATATACCCTTATGTATATGTCAAATAAAAGATGAAATAGATCAATAACAACCATATAGAGTAGAGAAGATCAGTTTACTGGCAGCCAAGGCCACAAGGGAAACTTGACAGATGACTTAGCTCTTATAGTCATTTTTAAAAATTTAATTTTTATTTTTAAAACTGATTTTTTTAATTGACATAAAATGTGTATATTGTGTACAACAGAATATTTTGAAATGTGTATCATTGTGGAATGGCTAAATCAAACTAATTGACCATACTTATCTCCGAAACTATTTTCTGTGTGCGTTTTTCTACTTCAGGAGAAAAAATTCTGGCACCAAATTCTAAGCAGAAGTTTTCACAGATATTTAAGTAAAAGACATCAAATGGTGTAGTGCTATGGTCCCCAACCCCCAGGGTTTTGGACCAGTACTGGTCCATGGCCTGTTAGGAACCAGGCTGCACAACAGGAGGTAAGCGGCAGGGAACAAGCAAGTGAATCTTCATCTGTGTTTATAGCCACTCCCCATCACACGCATCACCGCCTCAGCTCTGCCTGCTGTTAGATCAGCAGTGGCATTAGATTCTCATAGGAGCATGAACCCTACTGTAAACTGCACATTCGAGGGATTTAGGTTGCAGGCTCCTTATGAGAATCTAATGCCTGATGATCTGAGGTGGAGCTGAGGTGGTAATGCTAGCACTGGGGAGCAGCTGCAAATACAGATTATCATTAGCAGAGAGATTTGACTGCACAATAAATGTAATGTGCTTGAATCATCCCAAAATCATCCCCCCTACCCCCTGCTACACGCTCCCCTGTCCGTGGAAAAATTTTCTTCCATGAAACGAGTTCCTGGTGCCAAAAAAACCACTGATATAGTAGAAACGTTTTGGGGGGCTGATTTTATCAACCAGTTACATTTTAAAAAAACAAAGTAAGATTTATGGTCAGTGAAGGTGAGGGCTATAAAGTTTTGTTGTGTGAGAGTACCGTACTTCAGTGTATTTGGGATAGCCTGTACTCATTATAGGGAGAAGGAGATTCTAATTAAGGTCAATTCTTCACTGAGTCACACTCAAGCTGTTCTACAGCCTATATTTTCTCAACAGCTTTTAGGATGTTATTTTGTTTTACTGGCTTCTAAAATTACATCTTTTTAAAAAAAATTTAAATGTTAAATATAGCACAATTACAGAGAATCTCAGCCAGCAGTCAACATTTTACTCTATTTCCAAGTCTTCCCTACTTTCCCCTTTATTTATTGTCAGCATGGACTCATGAATTCTTCTGTTTCTCAATGTTTATAATTCCTCACTGTCCTTAATTATTTTAGTGCCTAAATTGTCCTAGATTTGGCCAGTAAGAACTCCCTCAAGCTGGCCCATGTGTGCTTGTGACATGACCCGTCTTTTTTTTTTTTTTTTTTTTTTTTGAGGACTTCATTACTTTCTGGTCTAACAAGCTGCTCTGGGTTTATCTTGTATCTTCTCTGCCATAGTCCTAGAATCAGCTATTTTTCCAAAGAGCCCTGATTCTTTTTAGTAGAGAATGGTGTTAGGAACCAAGATCTGGGTGTTGGGTGTGTTTATTGCTACTTCATATGTTCACAGACCCCCTAGAGCAGACAGAGTAAGGAAATACATTTATGTATATATACTTATATATATACATGTATATATTACACTTATACATACATAATTAATCATAAGTTCATGAGATACAGCTTGAACATCCCTAATCTGAAATTCCAAAATCCGAATGCTCCAAAATCTGAAACTTTTTGAGCGCTGACATGACACCACAAGTGGAAAATTCTACACTTGACACCTTTGTTTTCTGATGGTTCAGCATACACAAACTTTGTTTCAGGCACAAAACTATCAAAAATGTTGTATAAAATTACCTCCAGGCTATAAGGCATATATGAAACAAATGAATTTCATGTTTAGACTTGGGTCTCATTCCCCAAATATCTCATTATGTATAAGCAAATATTCTCTGAAAAAATCCAAAATTGGAAACACTTCTGGTCCCAAGCATTTTGGATAAGACATACTGAACCTATACCTTCAATTCTAATC